GGTTAAAGGAACTATCTGGTCAGGATTTATCACCAGAATAAAAGCAGTTAGTTGTATCTATCTCTTCTTTTAACTAGGTAGTTTTAAGATCAAGTCAAGTGAGTGCCTGTGAAGGAGTGAAGGGATAGGGGTGCACAGCTGAGGCGTGCGGTGGGACCGCAGCTGTGTGGATTGGAATCACCTTTGGGTGTTTCGGAACTGACCTTTCTCGGATTATTTCTTCCAAGAGGAAAGGGTGTAATGCATGCTGGTTGGTTGTCATATTTTTATAAGTACTCATAAATTATTGTAGTCTTTCTAGTTAAAAAAAAAAAAAGCTGACATTCACATCTGCTGCAGTTCTGTGTTTTCCCTTCATTTTAAAACTAGGTAATATTATTCATCCTGTTGCCATCTTCTGGAACCCACTTCTTCCCACCCCTCCCAGGTCTCCGTCCATAAGCTTTCCAAGCTTTCAGCTTGTGGCTGAGACTTCACTCTGAAGCAGTATCAGGTTTTCCATTTTATTTTTCTCAGCTTAACTCTTGATTTTTCACAATAAAACATTTGCTTAGTTTCATAAAAGTTGAAAAACAGTTTGAAATTTTTAATCAGTTGAAGAGCTAGCTGTCCTGGAAACAGAAATCCTCTGCTTAAACATAATCAGATACAAAATTATTTATTTATCTGTTTAACACTGGCCCCTTGCTAACCTCAGCCCTGATTTGGAGGGACCAAGGGTATGAGCCATTTCAAGCTCCTGGTTACAGAAAGTTCAGTTCTTCTAGGTGTGTCTGTCAGAGACTTCTAGCAGCAAAATAATGGTGTATATGATGAGCTTTCAGTCAGCAGCGGTTAAGTTTTTTTATTTTGAAGAAAACGTGATCTGAGTCAACAACTTGTGATGAAATATTTGATTATTTGGTTTCTAAACTTGCATTGATGATTCCTTGATGGTTTTGTTTGTTTGTTTTTTCTTCAAAGCATCTTTATTGGTGGACCATTGATGTAGTCTAGCATGACAATCCTATGTTCCTGTACAGCTCTTTCCTACCTTTCCTTCTCTAGTTACATACAAATAAGAGGGTACTCAAGCATTTCATTTATTAAAGTGGCCCAAATCTTTGAAAGTAATTTTTTTTTTAGTAAGTGTGGGTTTGGGTATTTGTGTTCCGTGTTCCTCTTAACCTGTATTTATATGAAAGATGTGGTTTCATTAAACTATTGGACATCTACACTGCCACAATCAGCCTTTCAAAATTCTGATAGTACTTCTTAGACAGCATAAACAAAACCTTTACATTATTTAATGATAAACCTTAATATTTAGTCTTATTCATGGATGTTTAGAGAAGACCAAGGATTCTATAAACATGGTTTACTGTGGGTGAGTACAATGATTTGGTTTTTAAGTGACTTTTTGGTACATTAATATGCTATGTATATTACAGAAAGGAATATTCATTTTGCTCTCTTCAACAATTTAAAACGAGTGGTTAAAAAAATTGCTTGCAGTACATGGTCTTCTTTAAACTGGCTTCACTTGCAGCACTGGCAGTGGAGGAACAAAACTTAAAAATAAGGCAAATAAGTTTAAAACATTGTTAGTAAAATTACTTCAGAATATTTCTACTGGTTTTGCCAAGGTGCACTATCCTGCAGTTGCGCTGATACAGCTATTTGCAGGCTTGTACTGTGAATCAGGTCAACTCCCTGATTTCATCTGTGGTATAGACTCACAAACAGTTGTTTGGGTGTAATTATGACAAAAGTAGGCTTCAGTATAGAGATGCAAAGAAGCAGGGGCAAAGCAATTTGTACTGTACTGAACAATTTGTATAGTGAAATTGCAGTCTAAGCAAGTCCAAAGATGTGATTGTTCTGGTTCAGTTCTGTTTTTCAAAAGCAGAAAAATTTAGAATGTGACACTAATGAGTTTGTGACTATAACTATTTACTTACCAGTGAAGTTCCTGTGGCTGTATGACCAGATCATCTTGTGATATTTCAGCTGAAATACAGAAAATTATAGGTTAGTATATTAAAGAAAATAGAAATCACTTTCTTAAATCTCCAGATGCTGGGCTGTAACGACAATATTTACTCAAAGGCAGAGGAACTGGTCTTGAAGCAAGGAAAGAAGTTTTGAGATGATAAAGTGGACGAGTGTGTGTATATGATCCTATGGAAAGAAAATATCCACTTTGAAGTCAGGCCTCTTGTGTTAGACTTTTATACACGCATGTTACGATTCTCATTTACTTCAATAAGATGTCTGAAGTTTAAGGTTGTTCCCAAATAAACTTCAGTGATACTCCTAATTTTTTACTGAAGCTTTGAATTCTTGTGCTGAGCAAGGTAAAGAATGTGCAGATTTGAACAAGCTTCAGTAGATCACATAAAGACAACATTAAAATATTTTTGTTCTACTGTAGAAGGGCAGAAGTATGAAACTGTGGTTAGAGCAGTGGACTGTGACTTTTGAGATCTAGATTTAGGTATGAGTCATTACCTGTAAGGCCTTGGGTGGGTTGATCTGCTTCTGCTTGTCCGCAGGAGAAGTGTTCACCCATTTTGTACCTAAATTTACATTCTTGAAGAGCTTGTGGATATGTATTTATTAGCATCTTGGAACCACAAACACTATTTTGATGTGGAATTTCATGGTACTACATGGTTTGAAGGGACATAAAGCATCATGAGAAATATTTATGCTAGAACTGTTTGAAGGCCATACCGGCATGCTCCTGCTTTTCTGTGTAACTTGTTGGGTTAACTTCTTGCATTATTCAGTTTGGGCTTTTTGGTGGTTTTGTTGGGGTGGGGGGTGAGGGTAAGGGGTGTCTACCCACTTATCTCAAAACATAGCTAAAAGGTTCTCAGTCTTTCTCATAGAATGAGTCATATGGAATTTGGGACTGCTCTGCTGTGTTTGAAAGTGTTAAAACACCTTGCGTGCACCTTCCCCCGTTTATTTTTTAAAATCGTTACGCTATAAAATGGAATGAAAATAGGATATAAAATTAAGGGCTGAGCTATATACCATCATCTTTCCTAGCAGTTTTTCTGCGTTGTTTATTGCATTCCTGCTTCTCTTTGAGACTTGATGTTCCTTACAGAACTGTATGGGGTCAAGATACACTTCCTCTTTAGTCTTCGGATGGAGTGAGTGCCTGTGTGAAAGTATACCCTGAATCACGAGATGAGTTATGGTGGAAGAGTCAGAACCATTCTAGGTTGAGAGTAGGACACCTATACCTAGGGATTATATTTCTTTTGTTAAGGTCTGAAAAGTCAGTTCTTGTGATAGGTGTTAAACCAAGCTACCATTCAACCGATTAGACCTGCTTCTTTGATCTTCCCTTAAAAATAAATAAATTACATATTTAAAAAGGGAAATGCATCTTTGAAGATCTTCCTATATTTGTAGAAGATTATTTTCTCTAGTAACATTTTTTTCTAAAATATAAAATACTTAAAAGCTGAAGCCGTGTATTCGATTTACTGTGATTTAAGATAATTACTATCAAATTGTAGTACTTTGGAATTATTTCAGTGCTTTTTCTCCCATGCAGATGGAGCCATCTGAAGTTAGTATGTGTGAGATGGGTTAACTTGGTATGTATTTATGGATGTATGTGACGGCAAAACTGCGCATCATTACTACCTTTCTTGGAACTTTTTCCAAACATATGGAATGGTTTCTCTGTGAGGAACAGCTAAGTTAGGACCTGTCAATGTGGAAAAAAGATGACATGGCAGGGAGGCTCACAAAATCATGACAGATGTGGAGAGAATAGACAGAAATTGATAACTCATCTCTTCCAATACATGAACTAGGGGATCTCAAACAAAGCTAATATGAACCAGATTTAAGCAAAATAAAGTCCAGTCCCTGGCCCCGGTACAGTGGATAGTAGGCCTGTGGAATTAATTGCTAAAGGGTTTTGTGGATGCTAAAAGCTCATGTGGATTTTAAGGAGTCTGGGTAAGTTCATGAAAGATAAATGGTTTGAGATTTACTAAATATAGAAAATCGTGTCTGGCTTAGCAAGTTCTTCTAGAGGAAAATGGGAGCACATTTGCGATATATATTATATGTTCTCACTCTTTGATGGCATCTATTTATAGCTGTTGCTGAAGATCAGGATACTAGTAGAAATGGATCTCATACTGACCCAATACAGCTGTTCTCATGCACTTTCCTTATATCCTGTTGCTAAAGCTGATTCTGACTTTCTAATTCTTTTCTAATCCTGATGTGAGTATGAAAATCAAACCATTAGCACACCAGACTCAGAGGAGGAACAAGAAAAAGATCAAAATGTGCTTCCTCCCTTACAAGGCACTTAGCTCTCCCTCAATTCTTAATTTATAAATACTTTTTTCCTCTATCCCTAGTGAAAAAGTGTAAATGTGAGGCCACAGAAACAACAGGAAAGTCTTGCATACGGTTATGGGAAAGACTACTGAAGGTGAGGCTAGTACAGAGGAATTTTACTTGCATAATTAAATGGTGTCATTTCAAGGAAGGAGCGGGAGACTTCAGCACATGGAACCTGTCCCTGATACCCACCCTGGTCATTGTATATCTATCTTGCATCTTTATACATTAGCACAGATTATTTTTTGACCAGATTCCTGATCTGTTGGATTTGGTTTACCAGGAGTGGAACATAAGTAACTGGTCTTTGAGAAAGATGCAAGTAGTTGAGCTCTGAGAGTTTATGATTTTGATCAAATTGGTTCTTACAGCCTGGCTTGTCCTATGAGGGTCTGTCATGTTTTGTTTTATTTTATTTATTTATATCTTAATTTTCCTTCTACCTACATGAGTCAGACTGACCTTCTTCCCTGCCAGTTTTGCTCACTGAAGGAAGCGAATGTTCCATGTAATGCAGTCTGCTTATTTTATCACTGTGGAAGTCAAATTCTTAAAGGTGAAATAGTAAATCGCGTTTGTTTCTATCATTTTGACTACTGCTGAATGAATTCCAAAGAATATTTTCTCTTTGTGTCCTCTAGGTACGTTTCTCCTATATGCGGATGAAGTATCTCTTCATCTCTTGGTTAGTAGTATTTATCGGCAGCTGGGTTATGTATGTTCAGTACTCCACCTACACAGAACTATGCAGAGGACATGACTGTAGGAAAATAATAGTAAGTATATTTAGCATAGCTTTCTTAAGTGTTTGTCCTGACTAATTCCACAGCCAATTCAGTCAGTGCCACATGTAAATTAATCAAATTCTGATATTCCATCATGTTGAAGTAAGATTACATCTTCAATTACAGATAAAACCAGTTACGATTCTTAACATTGTTTTGGTATAGGGTTATTAAAATTGTTTTCTTAGATTTTTCTTTTAAGAGTCAGGTGTAGGGAGAGATGCGGTTGTTGCCTCCTTTCTTGGGCAATTTGTTAAATATTTTTCTCCCTGTTTGTTTCAGTGTGATAAATACAAGACCGGAGTTATTGATGGGTCAGCATGTAGCAGTCTTTGTGCTAAAGAAACATTGTATTTTGGAAAATGTTTGTCAACAAAGCCCAATAACCAGGTAAGGCTTTACTCATCCAACCTAGTTTTATTATTTCCCACTGAAATGTCATTCTCTAGAACATCAAGTAGACCTTAGTGTCAGCAAGCTGTATCTGTTTGATACAGATTATTTCAAACTCTATTTGCTGTGACATGCAGAGCATGTTTATATAGATGTATGTAATATAGCTATATATAAAGAATATATAGGCATACCATATATTATTAATAATATATACAGTACGCACCTATATATAACATACCTGCATATAATATTATATATTATTCCTATATGTAGAGGGTATATTATTATTTTATAATACATATATTTTATAAACATATATATAATATACCGGATCTTTCCACATTTTGACAGAATACCTATGCTTTTGTACAGCATGCTACTTCTCTGCTTTCCTGCTTCCCAAATAGAAGCAGCAGCCTTTTAACAACCTACGCAAAGATGGTAGTAATGCCAATATACTGTTCATCCAGCTGTCTTTGTATTTTGACAGTGTAGTGTCTCCTAAGTACCTGCAGTAGTGTATCGTATTTGAAGTTGTCATTGTTTGAATGTGCTCTGTGCATTGTCTGTATGCAGGACTCGGTTTTCTAATCTGTGTTGCTACTTGACTCTTGAAGCAGTGGTTGGAGTACAGGTGGTCTTTAGATGATGGACTTCTACAGTGGTTTTTTTTTTACCCTTTTCCTTCTTTTCCTGCATAGATGTATTTAGGAATCTGGGGAAATCTGCAAGGTGTTATAAAATGCCAGATGGAAGAAGCTGCTCAACTTGATTTTGATACTGACCCAGAACCAAGGAAGGAAATAGTCCTATTTGATAAACCAACAAGAGGAACCACTGTTGAGAAATTCAAAGAAATGGTATATGGTCTTTTTAAAGTAAGTATATGCTTATTTATTCTATTTTGACAGAAAGGCTTATTTTCCTGCAGCTGGAGAGAATGCCCTATTGTCTGAGCCTTGTTCAAGTGCATGTTAGAAAAATAATCAGCACAAAAATAGGTTTTCCCAGAGGGGTTTATCTTAAAGTTTGAAGTAACTAATTATCAGGTTTTTTCCTTACTTTTTAACAGATGGAAGCTGGTATGCGTCTTGCATGTCTACAGCTTTCACTTGTATTTGTATAGAAAATATGGTAAAAATGTTGGTTGGTTTGTTTGGGGTTTTTTTCTGCTTTTAGGGTTATTGTAACCAGGTACAAAGACTGAAGCACAATTTGAAAACTGTTCATGCTTGGGAAGAGTTACTATGTTAACTGAGCAGCAGGAATCTCTCTAACCAGAATGACCAGCCATACTTCTCCTAGTTCTTTCTGTGTTATATTAATGCGATACTTGTTTCTGTTGCTCTAATGCTACCCCAGAATTTTCATAATATAGAGTCATCACTTTGATGCTGTGTCAATACTGATTTTGGGTTTTCTTTCTTAAAATTCTCTTGCTATTGTCATAGCTCTTATGTCTCCAGTGATGGAAATAATGCTGTTCTAGCTGAGTGAGCATATGTGTACACATGCACACACATACACATCATTATGTAAAACTGATGACAGTTGTCATGCATTACAGTAGTTTTGTCTCTAAGAATGGGTGAGCAGCAGGTGTTTTAGAGTAGTTCTTAGGAGAATTTGGGAAAAGTTTATCTGACTTTCTGTGTGCGTTGGTGGTAGTTGAAAATCCAACAGTTCAGATTCCAGCAATGGCTTCTTTCTCTGTATTGATACAATGGAGGTGGTTATATCAAATAACAAAGTTAAATATTTCAATACACTTATCATATGGGATTTGTACCCAGTATGTCTTGGTACATTTTATAGTTAGCCAAAATGTAGTTGATACTGTAATTTCTCTACATGTGTAAGGTTTAATCAGCTGAAAACTAAACCTGATCTAAACATTTGAATTCTACATACTTTTTCTAAGAGAATATTTAACAAGCTACTTGATACGATTTTTCTAAAGACTGATCTGACCAAGAACAATGTTTGAATTTTAATGTTTGCATTTTGAAATGCAAAGAACACTTGTACTCTCAGAAGATCATATACTTGGTGCCTTTGAAAAGGCAAGAACAAAAAGGAAGCTCCTTCAGGCATCTGGTAGCAAGTACTGTAACATCTATAACCAATGAAAACTATAAGGTAACATACCCTACCGTACCATCCATAGAAGGAGAATAACAGGAGGTAGAATGACAGGTGGATTGGTGGTAGTTAATGAAATCATACTTAATCTTTTTCGTTTGTTGCTTTTAGGCAAAATTGGGTGAACAAGGAAATCTTTCAGAACTGGTTAATCTCATCCTCTCTTTTGCTGATGGAAACAAAGATGGTAGAGTTTCTTTGCCAGAGGCGAAATCTGCATGGGCACTTCTGCAGCTAGATGAGTTTCTGTTAATGGTGATCTTGCACGATAAAGAACATACTCCCAAGTTGATGGGGTTTTGTGGGGATCTCTATGTGACCGAAAGAGTTGAATATACCTCTCTCTATGGAATCAGCCTTCCATGGATTATGGAACTTTTCATTCCTTCTGGCTTCAGAAGAAGCATGGACCAATGGTTTACTCCATCATGGCCAAGAAAGGCAAAAATAGCTATAGGGCTTTTAGAATTTGTGGAAGATATTTTCCATGGACCTTATGGAAACTTTCTTATGTGTGATACAAGTGCCAAAAACTTGGGATATAATGATAAATATGATTTGAAAATGATGGACATGAGAAAAATTGTGCCAGAAATGAATTTGAAGGAAATAATTAAAGATCGTCAGTGTGAAACGGATTTGGACTGTATTTATGGCACAGACTGTAGAACTCTGTGTGACCAAAGCAAAATGAGATGTACCACGGAAGTAATTCAGCCAAACTTGGCAAAAGCCTGTCAGCTACTTAAAGACTATCTGCTTCGTGGTGCTCCTTCTGATATCCATGAAGAACTAGAAAAACAGCTGTACTTGTGTATTGCCCTTAAAGTTACAGCAAATCAGATGGAAATGGAGCATTCTTTAATACTCAATAACTTAAAAACTTTACTGTGGAAGAAAATTTCCCATACAAATGATTCTTAGCTTCTCCACCAGCAGAAGATAATATTGATGCCTGCCACTAAAGGTGGCCTACCACATTTGATAAAAACAATCATCTGCAGCATTTTTTAAAGACGTTTCTTTACTCAGATTTCATGAACGGCTCTTTAACTCTTGCCCTTCAGTCAGTACCTTATGACCGGGCTTCTCGAAGAACGAACGTGGCACTGAATGATTGGGCAGAGGCCAGAAGCACTTCTGATGTTCCAGCGCTCTGTTATGGAAACAAAAACCCCGCATGCTTGACTGTTCTGTGCACTTTGTCAGCTCTTGAACAGGATTAAAGTATTCACTGTGCCACCACATCAACTGATGGAACATCTTACAATTCTGTGAAAATCATTGCTTACTTGTGAAATACCTGCAAAAGATTTTTATCCCAAGTAGTTTTATGAAGAACCACCACTACTGCAAATAATGTGTCTGAGTCCAAGCTGCTGTTGTGAATAAACTGAACTGTGAAATTGAAGTTTACTAATACCTTGGCATGGCAGAATTTGCACATTAGTAATTTTTAAACTGTGGAAAATTAGAATTCTAGAACTGACAGGTTGTAATATGAGACTTAAATCAGATTCCATTTACACCTTGTTACCTCATGCTTACATCTTGAATGTTTAAGTAGTTCAACACTTTTTAATTAAGTCCTTATACAGTGAACCATGTTGGGAGCCAAGAATTTTAGAGTATGTTATTTCTTAAAATCATGTATACAGGGTAGCAGCAATATCAACATCTGTTTCAAAAACTGTAATTACTGTACTTCAGTTGAAACCTTTAACCCAAATTAAGCTGTAGCAAATATTGAGAAGTAAGGAGTTTGTGGACTAAGCTATTTTACGAGAACTGAAGTAAATTAATTTTTAAAAATACTGATAGCAGAAATGTCCCAACAGTTAAAAAAGGAAGCTTGCATAGTATAGGAATCTGCTGTATGACATGTGAAACAAGTAATAGTCGTGGATAAAGCCTTGACTCTTTACTGTCCCTCCAAATTTAGCTACAGACTTGTACTTACTTCCTGCAGTAGTTCAAGAGGATTTATGTAAGCCAGAGCTAGACCTGAACTGTAGGACAGAAGCTGGATGGTTCAGGATCATGGAATATTGCTTAAATGGGAACCTGTAAGATAGCAACAGCTAGGAATGAGGTGGAACATACGCAAGTGAGCTGTAGCACATTACTGTTTTATAGTAGCATCTGTGAGTCATTGTTAAGTCTCAAGTCACGAGTAAATAAACAGCATCTGATCCTGGCACTCCACATGGCATGGCCACTGTGCCACCTTTCAGCTGCATACCTGTTCTTTTGCAGATTTACATCCACGTTCACAATTATGCAGAATTGGATGTCCATAAAGCACCTTAATAGTGTGCTCAGTACTTATCTGTTAATGTTTAATTTATAAGTGCTTGAAGTATGAAGTAGTTCAATCCTTAATGATTTTAATGGCAATCAATCATCCATATACTTCTAAATCCTGGCCCCTTAATTCAGTTTCAGCACAGGTAAGAGGGACAAGCTTTTATTTAAATATTTGAAAGGTTGTTAATTGCTTTAGGTATCCTGTGTTAAGTGCATTCCTTGAATGATTAAACCGAAGTACAGGAACAACATAGTCATTTCTCCATACCATCCGTAATAGTATGCAGCTTGGGTTAAGAGTGTACTGTTTTGTAAACATCAGCTTTTTAGTTTAAGAATTACTATGCTAATGCTAATTATTGTCTCTAACTTGATAATGTCCTCCAAGAGCTAATAAGTATTTGTAGCCAGCAATGCACTCAAATGTAAAGTGGTCATGTTCTTGGTGGAAAAATCTGACTGTACTTGCTCTAGGTTTTGGGCAGAGAAGATTACTGAATCCAAATGATGTTGGGTATTTTAAACAACTGGAAAACATGTTGTACAGAACCTTCATTTTTATTGCTGTTGCATCAAGTTGGAACTTCCATTGGAAAAAAAACCCCGCACTTTTGTTTACAATAAATCACAGGCCTCCTTTTCTCATTCAATAGCAGTATTTACCATCTATCAGTATCTTAAAGCAAAACGTTCCTCCGTGTAGCCTTCTTGCCTCGTGTTTTAACTGTGCAAGCAACTTCTGTAAGTCTAATGAGAAAGTGCCTATTAAACTGAGATGTAAGGGATAGGGGCAAGTCAAAGCCTCTGTAACTAAGTATGTATATGCAACTTAAAAGTGAATTATCTCGTCTTATCACTAAATAATGTGAAGCATTTAGCTTAAGACAGTACCTGTTTCAGTAGCAGCCAGAGCTTGGAGCTGCGTGAGTGCAAGTGCTTACTTAGTTAGTGGAGGAAACTTAAATACATCAGTTAGACGTGTATTCCTGTATCAGCTACAGTTAACTCACAGTAGGGAACATGTTGCCATTTGTGTTCCTGAAAGCCTAAGGCTGTGTTTCAGCAGAGGCTTTAGAACCTACCGTGACTACTCCTGCTTTTTCCTTAAGCTACATACAGATTCCCCCATAACATTAAGTATGCTGAAAGAAAAATGGTGAAGGACATGTAAAGCTCTTTTTAAAAATTTAAAGTCTTTTTGTAGTTAGGAGCAACAAGTTCTTATATCTAGTATTTGATACTAGTCACACCAAAAAGTAATCAAATTGAGTTCCCCTTCTTACAGGAATAATTCTAAGGCAGCAGCCTTGGTTTTGAAGTCTGTCACCTCTCTTCTCCTCTGTGAAGGAGTTCAATTCATACAGTACTTTGAAGGGGGAAAAGAACCTTAAGGCTACAGAATATCTGGATCATAAAAAGTATTCTGCATCTTTGTAAGATATATTAATAAGCCAGTCTTACACAGTTGCTTAATCAATAAATTTATTGCCACTTTTTCCAAAGCTTCATAGAAAATTGTGGAAGTTGTCTTAACTATCAGCTGTGCGCTCCTGGGCCCTGAGAAAGCTAGCCTTCTTCTGAGCAACACGATCTTTCTTCTGGGCAAGGGACACCTTGGGACAGTTCCATCTCTTCTTCTTCACTTCTCTCTTGGGTTTCTTCTCATGCTTCTGGGCGAGGGACATCTTGGGACAGTTCCATCTGCAATGTAAGCACAGTGTATGATATATCCAAGGCAGAAATAAGCAAAAAGGTAGTCAAGAAAGCTGCAGCGCACCAGAACTGTGATTAAGAGCGCTATGCTAGAACATATTCCCACTTCTGTAACACGCTTTATTTCCTCATAATGATTTAAGGCTGTAGTTAGGGCACCACAAGAAGGCATGGTTAGACTGCAGCAGTTTAATTCCTCAAGAGGTAAGCTCGGTACTTTTTTGTGACTAGAGCATAGACAGTATCAAGCCCAATGCAATAGCTGTGCCTTTATTTCTTTTCTCCCAGACCCCTGAAAAATCTAAATAGTTTAGTACTGACAAATTTGTCAGCCTGCCCTCTCCTGAAGAGAAGCAGCTTTCCCACTGAAAACACTTAAGACCTGAAGATACACGCTTAAAGAGTTCCAGCTATTCAGGCCACAAGCATGTTCCACTTTTACTTTTTTTTTTCCAATATAGTTGAGGGCTCTTAAATTTTAGATTCCTACTGTGAAGTTATACAGAAGTACTTTTATCTTAATCTGATCTAAACCACGTGAGTTTTGACACAACTGCAATGTGAATCACCTTACTTGTTTTAACATAACTAAAATATCTTCAAAGGAGAAGTCACATTCATATTAAAGAGGACAAGAGTTTTACCTCTTCTTCTTCACTTCTCTCTTGGGTTTCTTCTCATGGACTGGATTATTCCGTATAGCAGCATGGGCTTTTTTATACATTTCTTCCCTCTTTAAAAAAAAAAAAAAATTGTTAAATTCTCCGTAGTGATCCAGTTGTAGGATCATATTAAAAATCCAAGACACCCTTACCCGAGCATGCACTAGAAACAGGTTTCATCACACCACAGCTTGTAATTTTGTGTGGTTGCCTTTAAAACACTTTCTTCATACAGATCTCTGCCACAGCATACTGAAATTCCTACTATCGCTGTAATACAATTTAAATATCCAAATCCACAACTTAAGACACAAAACGGAGAAAGTAATTTTATCCTTATTTTAGTCAGGGAACCAAGGCCATAGAGTAACTAGAGACTACTTACAAGTCTCATAAATACAGCCTAGCATCTTGCAGTTGAAATACTTTTTCCTCTGAAGCCTACTTTCAGTGACACAGCTTCCCTACATTTAAATTAAAAAGCAGCCTAGAAAGTTATTCTATTTCTGCCTAGAATAAAATACTTCACGTTTACTTATTAAACCAAAATTACTCCACACAAACTCTATCAGACATGTAATCTTACCACTTTTCAGACCCTACTGTAGTACACATTACAAAGCTGCTTAGTAAGAGGGAAAAAGTATAAGTTATGAAGTTATGAAAGCAGCTACAGATTAACAAGTCTTGCAAGAACGGTGACAGTCCCTGCATCATCCCCAAGGATGCAGTAACAGAAATACATTAGCAGAGGCTACACCCAAACAGCAGTTTCTGACAGCTCATATAGCAGGTCATTGTACTTTGAGCAACTATTCTTCTAATGTGTAAGATGGGAAAATGCAAGTGATCTGTCCAGTTACATAGATCAATAGCAGAAGGTACCAGAGGATCCCCATCTGTCTGCTGCTCTGTCCCAAAGACAACTGTGGCTCCATAATGGCACCAATTTTAAGAATACCTTTGCTGGTGGTTAATTAAGACCACTAGTCCCCCGCTGTGAAAAGTTTTCTAGATGTATGAAGAATAACCGTCTAGCTATTGACATAAGCCCTGGACCATTCACTGCAATACAGGCTATAAATTGTTTGTTTAGTAAAACAGATGAAGTTGGCATTTACAACACATTACTTATTTTTTAGTAAAGACTGTTACAAGAAGTTAGCAATTAGTTAAGTTTAAAAAAAAAAAACCACAAAACCCCATAGCAATAATGGGATAAAGAATGAAGTTAAGTTTTCCATAGCCTAAAAAGAGGCATGAGAATGTTTGTTTCAAGCTTCAGGACCACTAATTGGGGAAACCAAGCAAGGACATTACAGGCAGCAAAACAAGCCATCTGAAAGGAGTTTAACACTTGAAAGCAGCACCTTGGTCATCTTTCACATCGTCTAGTGTTTTGTACAAAATACTCTAAAACTTAAAGTAGTACTAAAATAAGATGTATTACACTCTCTGTAGTTTCATGAGATGCTAGCTGCTACAACTACAGCTATTCTATATTCACCTGGGACCTAGAACTACCTATAGGGTCACACAAATCATAAACCAGATTTGACCTAAAGCGCATCCTCACAGTTGCAACCACCACAGCTGCAGAAATGACAGGCTGTGGTGCAGGACTAGGAATGAGTGAGTAGCATGCACAGAAACTTCAAGTTGATTTCCGTATTGGGGGGGGGGGGGGGGGCCATTTCTAGCTTAGAATGCAGTCCTGTAAACTTAGATTTATAGGCAGAATGTTAAAGCTTCACAGCAGGAAAAAAGATCTCACTTTCAAAAGATCTACAACATACTACAGAGCCCTTAATGAAGGACAGAAGTATTTTCTTTGCATGGATAACATACAACATGAATCACAGTATTTTACACATCAAGCTTATTTGCGTTACTAGAGAAGGCCCTACGCAAGACTTATCAGCATCTCTATTAATGCACAAGAGCCAGCCAGATAAATCTTACCCCATCAGGTGTTACGTTGTTCTTTATGTACTGGGAGAACTGTTTTTTGTAAGCATCTTCATCCTCCTCCATCAGGTAACGCATATAATCTGCAACATTTTGTCCCATGATATGCTTGCGGTGAACCTCTGCATTGAATTCTTTGCTGTCCGAGTCATAACCAGGGAAACGTTTGGTACTGTGAAACAGCAGTTACAGTCAGATTAAGACATACTGCCAAATCCTCCAATTCAGATGCTAGGTTCCACAAAGAAACGACTGATACATCAGATTCTCCTACAGATAACTGAGGGATAGGACCCTCTGATTAAGAATGAAGAGATACATAAAATTAGGAAATGGAAGTTTTAAGTTCATCTCAGCTGCCATCAGTCCCGTCTTGAAACAGTGCAGTACATCATATACACACCATGGACCAACTACAGAGTGTTCAGTCATTGGGAGCATCATCATATAGCAGCCAAGTCAGAAAAACTGGACAATTAGTCAAGAATGAATAGGACAGCATGGGAAAGGGCAGGAAAATACACAACAGATCTCAGATTTCCCCCCCGCCGCTGCTGCTAGCAGAAAGAAGCAGTCAACTGTAATATCAGTGTTCGGTAACACTGCCCAAAATCTTGATTCAGTCATTCATAGCCCACGACAGGAATTGTCAAAACTTCCACGTGGGAATTTTAAGTGCAGGTGGACTGCTCAGACCTACTATTGTACTGACAACTGTAGCAAATGTCAATGGTTTTGTACCTGGTACATACAACTTTTCACAGTGAAATTAATACATACACACAATTTGCTAAAGACTTAAAACAACAGCATAGTAAAGGATATTTACTTAAGTGCATTCAATCACTTGATGATTTTAAGTAAAAGCAACAAGATGACTCTTTAAGTTTCTAAAAATTTAATAGCATCTCTTGATAGTTGCAAGATTCCCAGCAGCACTATCAGAATTGCACTTGTGGATTAAAAAACCACCAATGAACCAACCAAAAAAAAACCCCACCCCAGAACCTAGGCTACATAATCATTACCAGGTTGTAACAAAATTATTTCAACATAAAGTGACAGTCTACTTAGACTGTCACATACAGAAGCATCTCAGGTTAATTCTAAAGGAATTCTTCCAAACAGACTAGATTACCTGTGAGGGATGGACAGACCACCATCCACTGCACCCTTCAGAGCACCAAAGACTTTGTTTCCAGTAGTAGTTCTGGCAAGACCTGCATCCAGGTAGCATGTGAAAGCACCAGGCTTTCCATCCACGCTTTCCACATTGTATTCATCACCCGTCACTTCAACTTGGCCTTCATAGATCTTATCAAGGCCAAATTTATTCAGAAGCTGTGGGAAAGGGAAAAAAAAAACAAAAACAAAAAAGGACTTCTGAAATTCTTTCCATTTACTGACAAAATGAAGAATCACCACTACCTTAACACGAGTTTCTTTACAAAAAAATTATGCACCCCATACCAGTAACAAAGCTTTTAACAACCACCATGGTAAGCATGTCTGTTAAGTTTCAACCTTTTGTTCCAACAGGTGCACCAGTGAACTTAAGACTTATTCATGAGCTTGTATGGAAAATGGATGGATGCTGTTTACATGTTTTCAAATTCTTAAAGGTATACTTCTTACATTTTTATCCTGACTCCCTCCCTCCACCAAACTTAAGTGCTGAGACTTAAAAGTGGGCTGCTAGAGTTGAAACTGCATGCTGTCATACATCTCACTGTGATTTGACAGTCACAAGAGGCCATCAAATCTATACGGTAAAGAGCAAAACTTAATACTTAGAGAAGCCCACAGAGTCAGGTATCTATACTAACACACCACTTAAAGTGGGCTTTCCTTTTCGTAAGAAAACCAGAAAAACAGAGCAGCAACTTCCAGACAATCTGACAGATACCTACCCTGCGTGCCAACAGCAGACCTGTACAGTACGCTGCTGCGTAATTGGTCAGGCCAACCTTCACGCCGTATTTTGGCAGCTCATGGGCATAAGCAGCACAGACAATCATGTCACCTTCGATTCTGGCATAGGCAATCTGACAACAAAACAACTGTTAGTGTTCTCACAATAATTCTGGGCTCGATTTGTTGTTTGTTTGAAATCTACTTAAGCCAACAGGAATTCTGTATAGAAACGTCCAGCAAACTGCCAACCTTTGCATGCAAGCTCAGTGGGTTGTGTTTTTCTTTTCTTTTTTTTTTTTAAAGGCATAATTAACTCCTCAAGTACAGATGCAAAGAATTCACATCTGTATTAGGCCAGAGAAAGCGTATGCCAGCAACACCTTTTATTTACCTCTCCACATACATCAGAAGGCCAGGGAGCTGCCTACAAAAGCAATCTTTCCAAGAATCATTATAGCTGTGGATGGATTCTGTCCCACTTTCTGCATGTAATTCTCATATAACACAGTATGTAACGCACCTCAGAAAAATGCAAAAGCATCTGATACAGAGTTTGTGATAACATTGTTACTAACCTTATGGAATGATTTTATTAATGGGTCTGAGATTTTCATAATCTCAGGGGTCTCCTGTGAGACAGCAGTACTAGCAGATATGTTTCTACTGTTCCTTTCACATACCGAACCTTCTCCTTTTGACTCTCACACCTCCCTTCTACATCCAAAAGTCGTCCCCTTTTTGCAGGATTCCTACATACTGGAGAGGCACTATCAGTCAGATGTAAGCACCTGCCACCACTGATTTTTGTTTTGAGTTTCAAGGATAAAGTAACCTCATCAAGGTCATATGGTTTCATCTGAACTGACTGCAAGAACAGCCCTCGCCGCTGTTCTCAACAGATAGTTATTCTATGAAGAAAGAAACGACAGTTAAACTTTTCTAGCTTTTTTGGTTTTTTGAGCTTAACAACATGTATAGAACAAACATGCCTAAGTTTTTAACTTCAAAATTAGTCAAAACATTCTGAAAATGAAACAAGAAAGTGAATCACAGCGAGGACCTGCATATGACACCACACATAACTGCATACTTAATAAGCATGAAAAAATGCCCACTATTCTTATTTACCAGTCTCCTTCAGTCTCACAGGAAAGCCATCATAAAGCCCACCTTCTTCAGATGATCCACATAACATCATAGGAAAAAAAAAAACCAAACTCAGAAGGCACCTTTAGATACAGTGCAATAGTCAGTGCAGGCTGACAGGTCACGTAGTCAACTTTGTTGTCTTCAGTCAAGCAAAAAGGCCCTCTTTTCAAGCACTTTAAAGACAGCAGGAAAAAAAAATAGAGAAATCTTCCCTCTCCCTAAAATCTTCTACTTATCTCAGCGTCGTTAAAACAGTCCAGTCTTATATTACGAATAACCTTGCTGAAGAATGCTGACGCTAGTAAAATTTATTTTGTATCACGAATACAGTTTATTACTGAAGTTGTGTCAGCGTTAAAGATTGTTCTCCTCTAAGAAACTATTTTACAATATAAAAACTGCTCAGATCAAGCCTAAAAAAACCCAGCTGCTTCAACCATCCCCCTTTCAGTTTATTTCACTCTGGGAAGGCTGGTAGGTAAGTAGCAAGCACCACAGACCTTACCTGGCAAATGATGTCTCTGTTGGTAACACGCACAATCATCCTATATTTAGGCGTGTTGTACTTGTTTTTATCTTGAATTACCAAACGTTTGCGGGCATAGTAATCAGTTTTTCCCTCTGAAAAACAACAGTTACAGTGTGGAAAACACGTGTGAAAAAAGTTGGAATATTCATCAATGACACTTAATTATATGTTACAGGGAATTTAACAATACCTCTCCTTCTCCTGAATTTCACTTGGTATCTCTTGAAGTACGCCTTATTCTTGACAACTTTCACAAACCCCTTGAGAATAAGAAGTATAACTAGACGTTATTAACATATAACCACGTAAGCCAAGACCACTCTTAACTAAATTAAACCTGCTATAAGACCGCAGTAAAATCAGGAATAGGATAACATGCTTGCTTATACATTTAGCTTAAAAAAGCATCATAAAAGTAAAATGGAAAAAACCAAACCCATCCAACCCCCAGAATTCCTATCCTTCCCACAGGAACTAACGCACACTTCTCCCCATAACTTCGTAGAGTTTCCGGAGAAAACCAAAAATCGTATTTGTCAACTGGACGTCTGTCTGCACGGTCCGAAGCACTAACCGTGCTCATTTCCAGTCGCTCCCCCCCCCAGCCGGTTATGTCTCTGGCGCGTTCTGCCACGGAACCGGCTTCTCCTGCAGCCCCCCGCCACTCGGCGAAGACAACGAGCTTCGCCGACATCGCGAGGGGACAGGCGCTCCCCAACACCCGCCAACGCTTCAGACGCCCAACGCCGCGGCAGGAAGGAGGGCGGCCCGGCGGGCACCCGCGCTCCCCGACCCTCGGGCCG